GGCCACTGCACTCTAGTCTGGGTGACAGAGTGAGACTCCAACTCAAAAAAAAAAAAAAGTATGGATTGTGATAGTGATTTTCCCTCCACAGAGTTTAGTATGAAAAAGAAGGGGAAAAAGCAGAAACTTTACAGTGGAGAAAACTGACAAACACTAGTTCAAGCCAGGTGATCGAGGTTAACATCAACAGTATAAGTCATATCGACAGTATTCACCCTGATATGATGTGAGGAAAGATGGTACTTTACCTCTGTGGATCTCCTCTCCAAAACACATTCCCTCAGTCTAATGGAAAAAAATAAATCACACAAATCCCAACTGAGGGGCATTCTATCAAATACCTTACCAGTACTCTTCAAAATGTTTTGAGTTGGAGTCTCACCTGGTCGCCCAACAGGAGTACAGTGGCATGATCATGGCTCACTGCAGCCTCGACCTCCTGGGTTCAGGTGATCCTTCTGCACCAGCTTCCAGAGTAGCTGGAATCACTATGATTGCTAATTTTTAAATTTTTAAAAAATCTACACACCACTATGATGGCTAATTTTTAAATTTTTTTGTAGAGACAAGATCTCACTATGTTGCCCAGGCTAGTCTCAAACTCCTGGGCTCAAACAATCCTCTTTCTGCCTTAGCCTCCCAAAGTGCTGAGATCACAGGCATGAGCCACCACACCCAGGCTCCTCAAAACTTTTGAGCTTATGAAAGCTAAGAAAATTTTAAGAAACTGTCACACCCAAGAGGCGTCTAGGGAGACATGACTACTAAATATAATGTGGTATCCTGAACAGGATCCTGGAACAAAAAAGATTAGGGGAAAATGGAATAAATATGAATAAAACGTAGAGGTCATTTAATAATAATGTATTAATATTGACTTGTTAATTCTAACAAACACACCGTGCTAGTATAAAATGGGTATGGAACTCTGTACTACCTTTACAACAATTCTTAAGTATAAAACTGTTCTAAAATAGACAATTTATTTTAAAAATCAATGAGCATTTCATCTTTGGCAATGGTGATACTAAAAAACTGAAAATAGCTGGTTTAAAAAGTTAATTCCATGGGGTTTTTTAATTAATAAAAACCAGCTATTAAAAATAAATAGTTGAAAACAGAAAGAAAAAAAACAATCAATCCCAGCCTTACCTATTCTTTTTAAGTTTAGCTTCAGCTGATGGCATATTTTCTAAGCAACTGGGACAATAATGGGAATCCACCTAGGAGAAAACAAGAAATCAAAAAAATCAGAAGAGAAACTTGGTTTAGCTTGTGTATAGGTCTTGTCAAATAGTGAATTTTATTTCTTATTTTAAAATTTTTATTTTAGCATTGGGGGGTTCACGTGAGGTTGTGCTACCTAAGTAACACACTGATGAGGTCTGGGCCTCTGTGAGTCCTCTCTCCTGTAGTGGACATGGTACCCAGAGGTTGTGTGCCCTTTACCCTCCCCACTAGCAGCGCCCAGCATCAGCTGCTCCTGCCTTCGTGTTCACACGCCCGATGTTTAGGGTTCACTTATGAGTGAGAACATGTGGTATTCAGTTTGTTTCTGTGATAGTTCACTTAGATGGTAGTTTCCAGCTGCATCTATGTTGCTGCAAAGGTCATAATTTTGTTCCTTTTTTTGAGTTGGAGTCTCGCTCTGTCACCCAGACTGGAGTGCAGTGGCCACTCCCGGCCACCACAGCCTCGACCTGCTGGGCTCCGGCGATCCTTCCCCCTCAGCCTTCCAAGTAGCCGGAATTACAGGCACGCGCTACCACGCCCGGCTAATTTTTTGATTTAGTGTAGAGATGAGGTCTCGCCAAGTTGCCCAGGCTGGTCTCAAACCCGCAGGCTCAGGCAATCCACTCACCTCGGCCTCCCAAAGTGTGGGATTACAGTCTGAGCCACTGAGCCCAGCCTGTTCTTCTTTATGATAGTATTCTATCATGTATATGTACCGCATTAAACAGTGAATTTTAAAATAAGTCATACTGCAGCAGGTGAGATCTGGCAAAGAAACACCACAGATCTGGCAAAGAAACTGGACTGTTTTCAGATTAGAGTTTATTCTTCAGTCACTTGGGTTTTGGGGTTTTTTTACTCTCTAGATTTACCAAAACCATTCTATTTTTGTTTTCTGATCTTTCTTATTCACTTCAATCAGGGTTTTATATGTTAGATGTGTTACAAGTCATCTATGCAATAATTTAAACTTTCTAATTAAAGAACTCCATAATAATCTAATGCATAGATTAATAAAATAATCCAATTTGCAAAGCTGTGCTCAAATATCCTCCCAGCTAGTTTAGCTTTATTTGACTGCAGTAATTTAAGACCACACTGTAACCATTAAGGGAGAGTTTAAAAAGTTTTCTCAGAGAACACAAACAAATGGAAAAAATCCTATGCTCATGGACTGGAAGAATCAGTATTGCTAAAATGACCATATTACCCCAAGTAATGTACAGATTCAATGCAATCCCTATCAGACTACCAACATCATTTTTCACAGAATTAGAAAAAAACACCCTAAAATTCATATGGAACCAAAAAACAAACAAACAAACAAACAAACAAACAAACAAAACATCCAGAATGGCCAAAGCAATCCTAAGCAAAAAGAACAAAGCTGGAGGCAACAAATTACCTGACTTCAAATTACACAAGACCATAGCAGAACAGCATGGTACTGATACAAGGGAAGACACATGGGTCAATGGAACTGAACAGAGAATCCAGAAATAAACCCAAATTCCTACGACTAACTGATCTTTAACAAAGCAGACAAAAACATACACTGGGGAAAGCACCCTCTAGTCAACAAATGGTTCTCAGAAAACTGGATAGCTACATGCAGAAAAATGAAACTGATCCCTATCTCTCACCATATACAGAAATTAACTCGAGATGTATTAAAGACTTAAATTCAGACCTGAAGCCACAAAAATTCTAGAAGAAAACCCAGGAAAAATTCTTCTGAACATCAGTTTAGGTAAAGAATTTATAGCTAAAACCCTAACAGCAAATATAACAAAAATAAAAACAATAAGTTGGACTTAATTAAACTACAAAGCTTCTGTACAGCAAGAGAAATAATCAGCAGATCAAACAGGCAACCTTCAGAATGAGAGAAGATATTTGCAAATTATACATCTGACAAAGGACTAATATCCAGAATCTACAAAGAGCTCAAACTGGCAAGAAAAAAGCAAATGATTTCATTAAAAAGCGGGAAAATGACATGAACAGACTTCTCTCCTAAGAAGATAAATGGCCAACAAACATGAAAAAAATGCTCAACATCACTAATCGTCGGGGAAATGCAAACTAAAACCACAAAGAGATACCACCTTACACCAGTCAGAATAGCCATTATTAAAAAATCAAAAAACAATAGATGCTGGTGTAGATGTGGTGAAAAGGGAATGCTTATTAACACTGTTGGTGGGAGTGTAAATTAGGACAACTTCTATGAAAATTGATTTGAGATTTCTCAAAGAACTAAATGTAGATCTGCCATTATACAAATAAGACACCCATACCTGCATGTTCATCGCAGCACAATTCACAACCACAAAGATGTGGAATCAACCTAAAAGCCCATTTATATGTATTAACATTGTTTTATATATATATATATATATATATATATATATATATATATATATAACACACACTATAGAATACTATTCAGCCATCAAAAAGAATGAAATGATGTCTTCTGCAGCAACTTGTATGGAATTGGAGAACATCACCCTAAGTGAACTAACGCAGGAAAAGAAAACCAAACACCGCAAGTAAGTGGGAGCTAAACCAAGAATCTGCAAAGGCATAGAGAATGGTATAATGGACTTGGAGACTCAGAAGGGGGAGGGCAAGAAGGAGTAGAGGAATGAAAAATCACCTACTGGTACACTGTGCATAGGTAGAGGTGGTGGGTACACTTAAAGCCTACACTTCTTTGCCACTATACCATGCAACCAAAAACCCTTTGTACCCCCTAAAGCTATTGAAAGAAAGAGGAAAAATTTTTTTTCTCATTACTGAATACTTGTTCACTGAGGAAAAGCATAAATTTAATATTTACATAGTCAGCTACAGCTAACCAATTATATATTTAAATGACAAATTAAGCTAACAGGATAGTCTTACTATATTCAACTCACGACAGTCTAAAAATTAAATTCATTGTATTTAAGGTCTGAATAATTATTTTACTTAATGCAGATAGCTCCTAATTGACAATTACATAACTCTAAGCACCTGCAGATAGAAAGACACTCATTTGAATATAAATACTACAGTAGAAACTGGCTTTTTAAAAATCATCTATTATAAGCAGGACCAGTTTGAAACGATTAATAAAATTGCTGCTAAAACAATCTCCAGAACATAAAAAATACAGTAATGCTAACATTTGTGCTGACTAATCATAAAAGACAAAATTCTTTCCAAATTCTGCTTGCTCCTTCATGTGCAGCTCCATATCCAAGTTGCCGATTAGAATTTTGTGGGCCTGGCCAGGCACAGTGGCTCACGTCAGTAATCCCAGCATTTTGGGAGACCGAAGCAGGAGAATCGCTTGAGCCCAGGAGTTCAAGACCTCCCTGGACAATATAGGAGGGGAGAGGAACCCTCCCAAAAAACGGAATTTATTAAAAATTCTGTATTTTTTCTTATACGTTTAAACTTCAGTCCCCTTCAAAGTACTCTCCACTTAATTTAATAAACCTGTCGAGACGCTTTTTCCACTGCTCAAAACAGTTTTTGAACTTGTCAATTTTGATGTCTTTTAGTACTTCTGCCATTTTTTGTTTCACCTCTTCCACATCAGCAAAACATTTCCCTTTGAGGGCTTTTTCATTCGGGGAAACAAAACCAAGTCACTTGGAATGAGATTGGATGAACAGGGAGGGTGGGGCACAGGCCATTTTTAGTCAGAAACTGCTAAACATTCAGCGTGATGTGGACAAGTCATAGTGGAAGAACCAATCATGCTTTTGCCACAACTTAAGACGTTTTTTCCACAAATCATGATGTACAGTAACACTAGCTGGCACATTGATGCGATGGATTCCTAGAACACTTACCTAGTGGGGGAAACCTATACTATAAGGAGCCCAACCTCCAAAATATAT